TACTTTCTGCAGGAAGAAGAAGTTATAGCTCTTTTATCATGATGAACTGTATCACCCAGTAAACAAAATAAAAAACCTCAGAACAAAGGACATACTACAAAAGAGACTCCTTTCAAAATACAAGGTTTCTTTCTTTGAGTCTGAAACGGCAGACGTATTTAGGCCATTTTTGAATTCTGTTAGCAGTTTTAGGAAGAGAAGAGGGAAGAAATGAGAAGGACTTCCCAGCAACTTTTTCCCCCACCCATTCTTAGATCATGCAGAACATCAAGGAACCAAAAGTAGGACACCGATGCACCAACTTAATATTCCATTGAATTTTGATTGAATTTACATGTACTGGCCATGTTAAGCAAACACTTTTAACCTCCTTATAGGACCCAGAAGAATGAGGATGATATTAGCATAAGTACAGCAACACAGCGGAGGCATCAGCAAAAGATGCCCAGTGTTATGCATCAGACCACCACAGCTAGACAATTTACCTCTGAGAAGAAACTATGCTTCAATTGACATAGTAATAAATGTAATTTGATTTCCATCTCCTCTGTGCTGCTTGCATATGCTATCACTATTAGCAAAAGTTCCACTGATCAGATTCATCTGCAAAGCTGCAAGTGGCTATCCAACATACCCATTCGAGTTTGCTAGGAGAAAATGAGTTTCTCACCTATACTCTTTACTACACATGTGCTTTTATCTGTGTCTGGAGCTAGATATGCAAGCACCAAGCATATCTAGGTCCAGACACAGATAAAATTAAAAATTATATTTTGTTCTGAATGGTAGAAATCATGCTCCTCAAATGAATTTTGGAGAAAAAGACTGACATGAATTAAAAATGGTATCACTTAGCATGTATTTTTTTTAAAAGACTTTTGAAAGTCTTTACAAAGACTTTTGGATTCTTTTCAGTATTGTACATCTGAATCCAGCTAAACTTTGTTTGCCATTAATGTTATTTATATTTGCTTAAAAATATTTAATACATTATTTAAGTGGACTAAAAATGTTCCCAGTCCCAAAAGACATGCAGAAAATTTCTTAGGTATCTACTTTGTATTCAAGTATTAAAATACAATCGTGTTCTGAGGAACTGTACTTTTGAGAAGAAAAAATTTGTAGATGTGACCTTCCACTTATGTATAACCCTCCAGATTATGAATGCCTACTTGTACCTCTACCCTAAGGATATTTCAGGAACTTCAGTTATACAATTCCCTTTGGAAAGAAGGCTCTAAGTTAAAGATACTGACTCCTGGGCTGCATTTTAAATTTTCTTTTCTTCAGAGCAGTTCAAAAGGTGGAGTACTTCAGAGACAGACTTTACACAACTATGAGATTGAATTTCTCTCTTCTAAATCTGTACTTACCTTAAAATGGACTTGGGTTTTCAAGTGAAAAATACCTAGTCTTTCTCACATAAGTCAGCTAGAGCTTATCATGAGACTCACTGTCATTGCTGAGGATACTTTAGCATCACGGATATGTATGACTCATGCTAAGCTGTTTGGACAAACTTTGATTCTTATTTATTTAGCACCTCTTGAGCCTAGTAAGTTTTGGTTGAGAATGGTGTCAGCTTTCATGCACTTCTTACTGATAATTTAGAAGAATTACTGCTAAATTTCATTGTTGAATTACTGCTTACTACAACGCTGAATGTTAAAGAAAACACTATCATGCCTTTAAGGCCCTCATGGGAAAAGCAACAGTCAAGCATAGCTGCAGATACTTTCTAAGCTCATAGCTCAAACCATTAAGGTTTATTACTTTATGTGTTCCCAAACTCTCTTTGTTCAGACATCATGCTTAAAGTCAGCATCTTCTACTTCCATGCTGTGTTGTATGTATGTTCTACATACACCACCCCGCATTTGTGTATACACACAATATGCACATATTTACCAGCAAAAATGCAGATATGTTGTCACACAGACATACAAGTATTTGCAAGGAGTGCAAGAAAAAACAATTACTTTAGCTTCAATTGTGCTTAGTCATAATATCTGTGGTTTTTGGATACCATTTAGTAAAAAAGCCAGTGCAAAAATAGTGTAAGGACGGGTAAGGTCTAGCTCCAGCTACACAGGACTGTTTTCATGGAAATACTATCATCAGAATTGAATCTTCAGGTCAGCACAGACTGTATCTCAGATTACTGATGATATTTTAAATATCATAATAAACATGGAAAATGTTTTAGAAGGAAACATATAAATACTGTAATAACTAAAACATGATTACAGGGAGGGTAGGTGATACTGTGCAGTAAAAAAAACCTTTCTTGAGAGTATCACAAAGAATTTAACTACATAAAATGCAAAATGATTAAGTCTATTATACAGTAAATGATGGAATCCAGAAGAATCAAACATTTGAAAACATCTTCCTTTAACCACTGATGCAGAAACACAAATTTTGATACTCCATCATGACTTATCATTGTCATATAGACAAGAACTTTAATATTTTGGATTCCAGAAGATTTTATACCTTTTCAGGCCATGAAAAATATAAAACAAATTGCAATAAGATAATGGCAATCCCTTCTCTTTCTAGTACTTTCTGATACTGCTAATAAAATCACAGGGGGTTAGAAGGAATCAGGAAAAATATTGGTATGATGGATAAGCAAGGAAAATCAGAACATGATCTCCTTGACTACACAAGTGAAATGATAACTATTTGCATTAAAATAAAATTGAAATAACATTCAGTTTGACTTAGCATTTTGTAATATTTTAGATAGAATTTTGTCTTTTTTTCTAAAATGTTTTCCTTAAAAAACTAGTAAAATGATTTAGAATGATAATACAGCCAGGTGAAGACACTAAATCTATTTGTTTTATTCCTTCCACTTTCTCTCTCTTTTAAAAAAAATTAAACACAGTTTATACACCACGTTTTCCATGTGTGAATACTTCTGCAAATGTCAATTTTTTACTTGTATAGATCAGCTTAATTCATTTGCACAATTTCCTCTTTAGGCTTCATGATTTTGCTCATGAGATATAAATTCCTATTGTATAGACAAACAGGATATTCTTTAAGCAGGCAACTGGCATTGAAAAAGCCACAAATGTTAAAATTTATTTGACAAAGTTTTGAATTATTCTTAACAAAAAAATCCCTGGGAAGGGACACAATCAAAAGAGGATGGAATGATTAAATGATAAGTTTATACTACACAGGGATGCTGCCTAGTGCTAATTATGTTGAAAAAAATAACATCAAAGTAGAAAGAAAACCAAAATTCCAGACTAACGCATCATTCCTTACTGAAGAGGTTTTGTGTCTCTAAGAAAGAATATGAAAAGATTAACAGATTATTCTTTGGTCTGCAGCTACTACCTGTTATTTCCTGCAGAATAGAAAATATGCCTTTGCTTTAATGAAGAAATACTTCATATTTGCATGTGTTTTGGGAAAAGCAAACCTATTTTACATGAACGGTGGAAACTAATATACAGCATTAAACATAGAATTAATAGTAATTCAATACACACACACACAAAATCAGTGATAGCAACTTTCTCTCTAGTACTGAAACCAATGACAATTTCATGATTAAGTATTTAACAAATTGCCATTTGATAAAAAGCCAGATTTAAAACACTCACTTAAATGCAAATAACATGTTTTTAGGCAAGAAAGACAGAAATAGAAAGAAAAAGAAAAAGGATTTATTTGAAGACTATAATTTTTTTTGTTGTACTGGTTATAATCTGTCTTCTAAAATTACTCAGATGATACTTTAAAAAGGCTTAAATATGTTAATTCCACAGAAAATGTCCACATTTCCTTTATTTAAAATCAATTTAGGAATTTGCTTAATACCTGATTAACAAAAGAATGTCATATATGAGATGATGAAATGCTGGGTGTTTTGAATATCATATTCCTATTAGCTAAAGATTAAAAGGATTTACCCTAACCCTTGAAAGATATTTATGTCTAAAGTATTTAAAGCAGATCTCTGATGTCTTCTCCCTTCCAGGCAAACTTGTTCAAAAAAAAAAAACAACCAACCCTGAAAGAAAGAGCATAACTACTGTGTCCTGTGTGACCAGCAAAAACATGTAAATTCTTATTTTCTCTAAATATTTTATCAGAAATAATACACATACATATATATATATATATATACACATATATAAAAATAAAGGTTTCTCCATGGGTTTACTTGAATGTTGTTCATGTGTAGAAGGTCGTCTTTTTTTTTTTTTTTCTTTCAATAATGCCACAGCATTACATTTTATTATGAAAAAACTATTAGGAGGAAAAAAAAATGCACTTGGTTAAGGGAATGGAATTTAGTACCTAAAATTAAACAGGGCCTCTAATAAAAAAATCTCCAGTCAATTACAGTTGAGATGCTAATTCTCATCAACTGTTCTTATGTCGGAAGGAAACGTCTGTCGCTCTCATTAATACAGATTTTGAAAATTAGTATTTTAAGAATTTAATTGACTCCTGGACACACTGATTTTTCTATAGATATACTTGTTTACCTGGTATCCTCTTACTGAAACACGCAGCTATTGCTTTTTTCTTAGAGATGCCATCAGGCCAGAAAAGAAAGCAAAGTGCTTGAAAAACTTAATCTGCTATTGCAAGATTTGCTTATCAATAACTGCCTTTCTGTTTGAAAGGTTCAGACAATCAGAAAAGAGATTACACAAATGCCAGAAAGCCTGCCAGGGAACTGAATGTAATGCACTTGTCTGCCTCTCTGGTATATGCTGTCCTCAGAGAGAGCAAAACTCTACACACCTTCCTCACATGGCTGAAATGAATGGGACTGCTCTCCTAAGTGAAGTGAGATGCTTTCCATCCAGAACTTACAGGGTCATTAAATTGTGTAATTTAAAAATATATTCTCTAGTAACGCTTTGTTGCTTTTGATTCAAATGGCTCCTGTAGAACTCTTCTGGGTACAAATCTCAGTATGCATGAAACATAACAATTCAACACTGGTCAGCTGACAGCCAGAATACCTGGGTTGGGGAATAGATTCTGGTTTCTTGGCTCTGGGAGAGAGTATGCTGAGCGTGCCATGACCCAGAGTGGTGGGTTGGTGAAAATCCTCTGTCATCAGTCACACTGAAGCTTGGGGCCGCCCACTGCCATAAATCAATCAATCAGTCAATTATTTATTAATCAGGTACTTGCATTTTCATAGTTAATATAAAAATGGGCTCTAGACAATGCCTTTTCTATAATGATAATCTACCTTTATATTACACTGGGGGGTTTACTTTAAATTAATCCATCCTTTTTCTAAAAGGGGACATAGTAATCTGAAAAAGGCCTTGCCAATTGTACAGAAATAAATGAATCCCTGCTGAAAGATCAGCACTGCAAAATACATATGCTCATGAGCAATCTGAGCACATGAATAGTTCCTTCAAGTCAAGCCACTTTTTTTAGGAACTATTATGTTCTGGATTCAGAATTTAGATCCTTACTATAGGGTTTAAGTTCTGCGCAGACCTTTTCACTAGATAAATTTAACCTAAACCAGCATCTTTTTTGGGGATGTCTGACTGACGATAACCTTACCAGGAGAAAACCTAAATGATGTGTTCCAAGTCTATATGATAGCACGATGTAATTAACATTTTAAAAGGTGAGTAGGTATATTTTACTTAAGAAAGGGCTTTAGATTTTAAAACTCCTTGACGAGGGTTTTGAAGTTTATTGCTGGCAATTTTCACGGAACATTTAGCCATATAGGACCTGCTCACAGAATCATTGTTTTATTATTCTGAAAGTCACATGAAAAGAGAACCTTTTTCTAAATCCAGACTGGCTTAACTGCTTCTAAGACTTTGGGCAATTCTAAATATGTTTTCCAGCCAATGGCAGACAAGGCCATCTTCAGAGTGACTACTGTGACTTCATTAAATGCCTATCACAATAATATCCGTATTGTACGTGGCACACTACACGCTGAAGGACAACTGACTTTAACCGACTCCCTGGTTTCAAATAATCGTCGTATTTTTATTCATATGGCAGATAAATAGGACAAACATTTCAATTATTCTATGCAGAACAGAAATCTACAGTAATAAACGGGAAAGAAAAATAATTTCTACAAATTCATTGTGATCTCTACTTATATATTGTAGACAGAATAAGTGTAAACATAATGATAGAATGTAAACATTTTATTGGAGCCTAAGTGCTTAGGCAAAGCAAACCAATTAATAGAAAACATATTATTCCTGGCAGTTCCTCCAGCTCTTTAATATTAAACACATTTAATGCTAACTGAAGCTTGTTTTTCACTAATAAATTTTCTTTCCTGTTAAACTCATTCAGCACAACCCTTTTGCTCAAATTTCCTCATGTAATTTAACAAGCTATCTGTGTTTTGAGTAGTTGGTTATTTTCTTGAATACTGAGATAGGTAAGAGTTTACCAGCTACTGGAAATCTGCTGTCTTACAGTCACATCTGTATTTTCTAAGGTGTCCCCAAATCCTCAACCAGCTAATACCCTAGAGACTGGAGCGAGATCCAGTGTTATTGACTTGGAAATGGGTGTCTTTAAAAAATCACCGTAGTAGCTCCTTTCATCCTGCTTAGGTGGCTAAACATAAATGGAAGAGGACCTCTCTCTGGAGACTATAAGCGGCATTTAATTCCCCTGCTGACTGTACAGGTTACCAAGATACTTGAAGAAGAGGAATTTACCATGTCTCTGAAGCACAAGGACAAGCTGGATAGCTCATCTACCTGTTTTTTTCCTAAGTGCTAAGCCACTGACCCACCCACGAGGCCACTGACCATGTGACCATTAAGCACTCTTATAAACCAGATTTTAAGTATTCTAGAATAGACTTATGAAAACAGGGGCAGATAAATGAACATTTATGAAAATGTAAGTCTTAGTGGTAGAGAACAAAAAGATTTGAAAATGAAATGACATTAAAGTCACTCTTTGGGAGACAGTATTTAATCTACTTCTGAAAAATTGTCACGATCATCTCTTTCCTACTTGATAAGCTTTAGCAGCATTTAGAAATTAATCACACTACATAATCTAAACACTGTTTATATGAGACTCAAACTAAACCTTGTTTTCCTCTTGGTGGGATTTTTTTCCAGATTAGATTGCTGTTTCAACTATTGCTCAGCAAATGGAGAAGTATTTTCTGTGAACTCTTCCATGATGAAAGACCTGCAAGTTAAAATTTCTGTGATGGTGGACAACTCCTTCACTTCAAGACAAAATTAATTGCATCCTCTTGGTCTGTCAAGGTTTGTTTTTTTTTTTCCCCTCGATAATTTTAGGATTGGAAACATTTATGCATATTAAAACTTCTTCTTGTTGGACTGTGTTAGGATTATGACAAATTAACCATACTGGGGAGTGAAATCCTTTCCCTAAAGGACAAGCCTACAAAAGACAGTAAACAGTCACCTCACTGACAGATGTGAATGCTGACTATTTACTTTCTGTGCCTTTTCCATGCCAGCCCAGCCTAACAAGTCTATGTGTCCCACTGAAGCCACAACACAGGTATGAACTGGAAATCCTAGTACACTGGATAGAACCTGTCAGTGGAGGGTACAGAGTGTGACACAGCTCTGCAAACACAGTGCATAAGGTATTGCAAACTTCCAGAGCTTTCCAAGTGGAAACGGAGACAACAAAGTCAGTGCTTCCTCCTCCTTGAGCTTGTCGCTCAGGCAATAGGAACTTAGAAATCTATCCATTGTTCTCCTGATCCAGAAAAGCTACAGTCTCCACTTGAGCATTCCTTTCAGAAAATAAAAAGCTATTTGAGAAGAGACACCAACAGTTCAAAGAGTGCAACTCCTCTTGTATTAGCTATTAATAACTGGTCACAATGTTCCTGCTCCAGCAAACTGAATGAAAGCAACATGCAAACATGCAGTCCTTATTTTTTATAGAATATTGGGAACCCCAGGACACACTGGATGCTGCAGATTAGTTAGCCTGTCTCCTCAGTGAAGTTCAACTGGCTGCAAAAAATTCTGGCTCTTGCTTTTGGGGCCTTACAGAAAGGACCCATGAAATCAACAGGGCTTTCTCACTGCTTTCACTGGGAGCAGGATCAGCACACTGCAAAGAAGTTCCTGGGTACCAGAACAATGAGGTCTGGACTGTCAGAGCTACATTGCTTGGGGGACTTGTTCTGCCCACCTGCTCTGCCTTACTACTTCAACACAGCAAATGAGCTATCCTGAAACTCTTTTCCCAGAAATGTATCTCTACCTTAACTTGAGATTGAATTTTCTACGTCTCCCATCTTTGTGACTTGTGGAAAAATTTTGCATTTTTCAGAATAAAAAAGATGGATAGGACCTTAAAATTTTGTGCTGTCAAAAGATACTGTTTGTGTTCTTGGCCAGATATACTATGACATTGAGACAGAGAGCTACTTGATTTGGTTAAGAAAATTAACTGAGTCATTGCAGCTGTTGCTGCAGTTTTTGGCTCTGAAGGGCCCAAAGAAATAGGCAATGTCTGCCAGATACTGAGTGGCACAATGCAATTTGAGCACCCTACTAGTCTTCTTAAGAAACATACCTGAAGCTGAAATATGAAATCTGTTAAATTTGAGCTATTTTTTATCCAAAAGCTGATTCTGACAATGTCCTGAGAAGCTGCTTCATTTAGGTTTCACTACCTAACCCTTAGTTAAAGCTGAAGAGCTTGCTCACCCATGATGGGATTGAAGCTTGCAGGAAGACTGTATATACCCTGCTTAGGGCAGCCTGGATACTGGCAGCAGGTGAGGGACTAGTTTCTGACTCCTGAATTCTCTCCACAGCCAGAGTTTATCAGGGAGTGTTGCTAGTGGGAAATTGCTACCTATGCACTTCTTGGCTTTTAGTCCTTCATAGGTGTGGCAAGTCATTAGGAGACCATACCAATCCCCAACTCTGGATGGACTTTCTGTCAGTGCAGTTTCTAGTCTGCCAGCTATTGTGGCAGGTGCACCCACCCAATGAAAACAGGGCTTCTTGGCTGCTGAAGTGTAGCAGCTCCTGCCTGCCTGTTCTCGGGGCTCCATGGTAGTTGGGGCTTTTGGCCAATGGGAGCCGCTATTGACCACAGGTCAGATTCAGCCTGGACATCAATGGAGTCCCCTGGAGCAGCAGCTGCAGTGCAGGGCTCTCCCCTTGGGTCAGGATGCTGCTCAGGGAAACTCTCCAGGTGATTTGGGTCAGGTGATGCCCTGAGCAGGTTGTTGAGGTTGAGAGCCCTCACTTGTCAGGTGAGTGCTAGAGCGTTTTGGGTTGTCATGAAACCCTAGGAAGTTGTTCTATTCTCCTCTCGCAGACATTCGAACTTGTAATTTGTGGAGGGCTAGTTAATTGTGTTGGCAGTACATTTTTAATTTTTGGTGGTTGGATGTTTATTTGAGAGCCTCTGTAACAGCTATGTGATGATTCCTGTAATGTTGAGCAAAATTAGAAAAGTGAAAGAGGTTTTCATGCTTTTGCTGATGTTGTCATATTTGGACTAAATATACTGACTACTACTGTATCAGCATAAACATATATTGCCTTCCTTCCCCATTAATATAAAGGATAATACTTCTATTCTTTTTACATCTCTTTACAGTGAACATGTGGCTCTAAAATATACTACAATTCAAACTATTTGGTTACACTATTTCTCAAACAGTACAGTAAGTGCTGCTGCTTTTTCTTAAATGTGATGTGATGCTTGTAATTTCCTGGTATTACAATACAAAGTTATGCCTATCTGTGGGCCACCAATTCTTTGAAAGTAGTTGTATAGATACTTCAGTACACAGGAAGAAATTGCTGATGATTATGTAATGGGATTTACCTGCACTTCAAATAAGGCTGTGCAAGTGCAAGGTACTGAAAAGTGCTGATCATATTATACTGTCAACTGTATGTTCACTTGTATATATATTCTAATGGGAGAAAATAAGGATGGCGTTGACCTAGTGTCTTTATATTACATAAATAGCTGACTGTTAGTATAATGCAACTTTTCTAATTTTCCTATCATAAAACTATTATTTTCCAAACAGTGGTGAAACTTGGAGAGCCAGCATAATAGCCTACTACAAGCAAGTTTAATAGATGTTATTACTTTATAAACATCACTGTGTTTTATCAAACAGAAGTATTTTAAATAAACTATCTGAACATTTTGATTTGAGGAAATCATATTTATAGAAGGCTTAGCAGCATATGTAATGAGTATACCAATATGTAGCAGAGACTTTTGTGAAGCCTGTAGGAGTTAGCCGATATAGAGATTAATGAAATGCTTCATGACAATATAGACAATGTCTGCTATGAGTGTCCTTGAAGCTACCTCAAAGGCTAGCCTGCCCTATCTTCCATACCACAAATATGTATTTGTGGCCACAGAAAATGTTCTTTTAAGCATGCAAGGTACTTAGTACCGCAGGGTGCTTAGTATCTAAGTACATTACCAGGCATTCACGTTGGGAGCCAACAGAATGTCCTTTAGGTAGCAGTATACTCAGAAGCCACACAGCACATAGATTACCTCATGCATGGAGCAACCCCAGAAACTGCTTTTTCATCACAGCATATACAGATAGAAGGCTGGAAATGAGCCAGACATTGTAAGAACCTCTAGATTATGGTGCAGTAAAGTTCAGCCTCTACAGTGCACCCACTCACATACACAGAAGTCAAGCTATGCACACTTCCAGCGTGTTAGTTACTGCTTTGCGTCAAGAAAAGCCTACTCTAGCTCATGTTTGTTCCCACCTCTTAATGGGACAGTTGAGTACCAGCTTGTTACTTGGAACATCTTCGCATATGGTATCCCTAGGGCTGCCAAGGATGACTGAAAATACTGGAAGTGAACAATGGGAGAGACTCGGTAATCATCTTCCTTACTCCTCAGACTTGACACAAGCAGGGCTGGGGCATGCAAAAGAACAGCACTTCAAATGGAAGTTCAGCTTCTGCCAGTTTGAGATTTGGTGCATACATTTCACATAACTAAGTTCTTTTCTGTTGCAAAATACATACAACTCAGATTATACCACTGTGAAATTTTCCTACTTCACTATACTTATGCCTCAGCCTTAACTAGGACCTAAACTTTGTGCCACATGAAGTCTTAGCTCTCTTTGCTGATATTACAAATACAAATATCAATTAGATAAGATGTGAAATTACATGTAGCAAGAAGACCTTTGAGAACTGTATCTGCAGGGTGATACTCACATGGAATGTAATTCAGTTTTGAAATATTTAGCGAGAATTACTTTAAATGTTGTCATCTACTAAGTAGACACATTTTAACGACTGTATGGGATGTTGTTTCTCATGATCGTATTGCCGTATTGCAATTCATTTTAAGAGGTTAGCAGGCCTGTGGGAATGGTACTATAGACTCCACAGACTGAAAACTAAGTATATGATGCTACTGTCTGCCAGCTGATTGGAAGTGAAGCTATCAAATTTCAGCCCAGCTCAACATGTAACTGGTCCCTAAGCACCACTCCTTCAGATACTCTTGTTTACATTCTCATGAGGAAATTTGGGAGCTGAAGGGCTGGAAATCTGGTAATCACCTCAGGACAGGGTGGGGAGGAGTAAGAAGGAAAGGTACAGTAGAAGAACTTGCGCAGATTTGTTCTATGAACAGAGAACTTCACTCTCCAGGCCTGTCAGATCCAGCACTTCTTGTATGAATTCTTTTGAAAACCAAATTCATAGCCCTTTTTCACCGCCACAGATATTTTCAAAAGGTAATTATATGTTAAAAGTAGAAATGAGGGAAAAACTTGTAGGTCCAAGTATCATGTTTTAAACTAGGTGAATTTCAAGTCACATAAATGAGTCTAAAGACTCCCAGCCCCCAAATTTGGGTAACCATATGAAAGATGATAAATCTAGAAAAAGCCCAAGCCTTACCTTCTTGTAGAGACTTCTCAGGTCTCTGTACTGCCACATACTATTGAGGACCTGAGATGCTGCTTTCACCACTTTTGGCGAATGCCTGTTACACACATATATTAAAAAGGGAGAGAGAAAGAAATAGTGAGAAAGAGACTGTTAAGTACAAGGCTCCATTCATCCCAATTTTCAAATGCATTGCTATGGATTTAAACCCACAATTAAAGTGTTTCAAATGTACTGTAAGATCTTTGGTTGGCATCTTGGAGACCAAAGTGTTTTTAAGCAAGGGCAATACATGTTATTTCTATACTACTAATTATTCAGTGAGGAGCGAAATGTGTGTCCCTCAGCACACTGAGAACAAGAATTCATGCTGAGAGCGTAGTAAGAGGAATTGGAGAGGTAGGAATCGGCAAAATCGTCGAGGACCCAACTGGTATTATGTACGTCTAAGACGTCCTGGCTACAACTTCCGGCATAAAGGACAAGAAGTTAGAGCCAGAGTTTCTCTATAAGCTGCCAAACTTCAGCTCTTGACAGTGTGCTCAAGGCATTAAGTGCCTCTTATCAGTGGCCAAAAGAAACACTCTAGGTGGGTGATGAGCACTGTTTTTGAAGTGCAGAGCCAAGATGCAGAAAATCAACTGATTATAAAAAGGCATGAGAAATTTCATTAGGAATTCAAATTATGACTTGCATCTTGCTCACATGATTACCCTTTTATGATGGCAATACAACGTGATGTTGAAAACCATATATAACTTCACATGGACTTTCTCTTCAGAAAGGTTTTGCAAGAATCTATTAACGATTGTTACAGTCAGTTGGAGTCCTATTTGTTACCTATCCTCTTGGGATAGGTAACTTTAAAAAAAATCTAAAAAAAAAAAATATATCAGAGAGTATTCAGCTCAGTGAAGAAGGGTCAAATAGAAAAGGACCGTGAAGATAACTCAGCCCACTGAGGAAGCATACACTGTGCTGTACCAACAATACACACAGAGCAGTAGAGTGCTAGAAAACCTTGCAAAGGCCAAAGTCCAGAGGGAAGATTGACTGAGTTTGGGGCAGTCATTGAGGTGATTCATGTTTTACTCGGAAAAGGCACACAGATTGCAAAAACAAAGGGAAATCAGAAAACCAGAAACATATGTCACTGGTTTGGGCAGGAATTCTTCTCAGGGATCAGGCTGTGGTGCATCCTCTGATCTCTGAGAAGGACTACTGGGAGGCTGACACTCCAGCTGGTAAAGCAATGTTCATGACACAACTGATTCAATTAACATAAACAGTATTTTCCTGGTAATTTATTTGGTGGTTTTCCACCCTGGTCTTCCATTTCTCACCCAGAGTACAACAGTAGGTAGGTAATGGGTGAATAAACAGGAATATGATAAACCCTTTCAAGCATAATTGTTTTTATTATACTCCCAGCTGTACTGGCTAGTGGGGTGCTGGTAGCATGGAGTAACCAGGAAAATAACTGTGCCAACCATAATGTGAGTACTGAGAAGAAACAGGAACTATGCGAGGCCAGTATGGGCTTGGCCAGTATGACCTTATGAACATCAGTTCTATCATGCTGTCATACAGGGAAAGCACTCAAGCCCTGGGCAATTTTCCAAAGGATAGCGGGGCCAGCCCCACACTCCTGGCACTGATACATACCAGGATGCATGGCCAGGCTAGTATCCTGCACTTGTAGAAGCAGACGCTTTATACTGGACAAGACAAATTCATACTAAAGCATTTTACTGTATTAAAGTGTGCATGCCAGAATTTCCTATCAGTCCGACAATCAACAATTCTGATTTTTAAACAATGGATTATCTGTAAGAAACCAAACCAAAGCAATGGTGCACAATACTAACATTTCTGAAAGCTGAAAAATGGAACTTTCAATGAAGATTGGCATTTGTAGCACTGTGAGCTGACAGGTTTTCTTCTAGAACTGTGTAACCTGTAATAGTAATAACACAGGACCGCAACTCAAAGTACTTGAGAGGAGGGATACATATAACGATTTGGGAGGGCATTCTGGGATTATTCAACACTACCTGGGCTAAATACTTTCAGTCAACATAGATATGTCTTTCACATTTATGAGCTATACTTAGACAGGGAATTATACCCTTGGATCCTTCTAAAACTCCTCTTGACACTTTGAAAATTCCAGACTCAACAGGTATTAATAATCTCTACCAGATAATAAACAGGTAGACAAATGCATTATCCTGAGGAAAGACACATTCAACTTAAGAGAAATGGATATGAACCTGCTTGCACTATCAGTACATTTGATCTAGAAAATATAAATTAAAAATCTAAATAGATTTAATAATATTAAAAATGCAAATGTAAATAAATTGGCAGAGCATGGGGAGCTCCCACAACTGGAATCAAATACTTTTTTACACTATTAATTTTTACCCCTTACAGTTAGAATGTGAGAATGTTTCAATAATGAATTTGTTATGAAAAGAAAAAGGTGACAATAGAGGAAAAGAAATGTGATTATATTGGCAATGCTCCGATTACATAGGTGAGCATAAGTTCTCATACCAAATGTAGGGTGCATAAATCTTTCCTTCAGGTTGTGGCCTGGCTTTGTGAAGCTCTTTTAGAGCTCTGGTGCTGCAGTAGGCTGTGTGATGACAGCTTCAAGTAGGTGGACTGATGGGTTTTGTACACTACAGTGAAGGCTTTTTGTTTTCAAACTGCCATAGTCCCATGGCACTATACTTCTGCAGGTTGACAAATATGAGAACCAGGCTATCTGTTTTAGGCAAAAGAAGGATAAAGAGTGAACTCTTCATGAAGAGTGCGTACATAGGAAAACAGACAAGATGAAACCATAGCTGGTCTGGAAATGTCCCACTCGTGTAAGATTTCTGCATGTTTTGGTGCCTCACAAAGTAGCCTGCAGGTATCCTAATGCTCTCTCAGAAGCAAGGTGTTAGGAAAATCCAAGGATCCATTTTTCTACTATGCCCCACCTTTCCAGCAAGCTGGTGGCAGGGAAAAGGGTGCTGTGAAGAGGGACAGTGACTTTACATTCTTCACTCCCAGAGAAAGAGGAGCAGTAACAGAACTGTGGTGAGGTCCCTTCCTTTCACAGGATCCCTCCACCTGCATGTCACCCCTTTTGCAGGGTGCAATCCAACAGCTCTGGTCCCTAATGTTTATCAGGATCTTCTGGAAGTGCTTAGAGGTAGTGGTTACTGCAGATAATTACTCTTCCTTAAACTGCACATGCAGTGCACTCCATGCACTGCTGATGGTATGTCAAAAATAAACCACAGCAGAGACTTTTGCTACTGGCATTGTCTGTTTCTTGTCACCTTTCACACTGGACATATAATTTCTGATGAAACTAAAGAATTCAACTCACGATTGCACAGAGGAGGCAAACACATTCAGGTCTAGTAATAACTATTGGAGAGGTTAAAAAGGTGCAAGGTGATTTGCAAAACATACTTGTCTCCTTTACTCTTAGATATGCCAACCAGTTTCTCAATGCCGCCTGCGTCTCGTAAGGCCTTGGCATTCTCCATGTTTTTAGTGATGACTTCATGCAGAGTGCAGCAAATGGCAGTAACGGTGTCATCAGACATGGCCTTGCTTGCTGAGTTGTTGCTGTTGTTAGCGCCTGGCAGTCGGTGGACCAGATCCCTCATGGCATACTTGCCTTTGTTGAAAGAAAACGAAGGGAGAATTCAGAAGATACAGCAATAAAGGGTGACGGAGAAGAAGTACAGGGAAAACACGCAAGACTATTAGCACCATTTGAATCATTGCATGTAATCTAATTGGCTACTGATACTATTTTGGAGCAAGACACATTTATACGACTGTATGTTCAAGCGTTTCACACATTAGGGATTCTCTTGTTATTTCCATACTACATCAGTTGGAGACTTTGGATATGGCTACATCATGCCCTTAGGAGAATGAAATGATGATAGTAAAGGCCAAGTATATATACAAAGACAATCTGAATACCACAACCTACAGAATTTGGCAAGTCCTCATCTCCCGCCACACAACTCATAACTTGTTACTATAAATGAAATGTGCATCATTTGTTAAAAACACTACAATGATTGTAAAGCCAATGACATCGTTGTTATTTCTGAAACGTCTTCTCTTGAAGAACCGGTTTTGCTGTACAGGGTTAATTCTACACTACATGCAGTAATCTAAATGGGTTTATTAGTGTTTCTTAAACTATCGCTCAGAAAGGACACCACCTTTTCCCCACATCCTTCGTTGTATGGATGCTACTGACCCGAAAAAAAGCCTTCCTGACATATTCCTGATATTTAGTAAGGAGTTACTTTATATAACACTAACCTCCAGATATTAAAATCTCCTAAAATGAAAGGCGCAATGAATTTTTAAAATGGTCGCATTGAACTGAAGACATGAAAAAGAAATTCTGTTGATTACGGTTGGACTCAATGATCTTAAAGGTTTTTTCCAATCTAAATGATTCTATAACTATTATAACTTCTTTCATATTTAAATGAACAATTTTTTTTTTCCAGAATTGCACCTGAAGGCTTGTGAAAATGACACAAGAAGAGGTTCTGAGAAATTACATATATAGAGAGTTTAAATGTAAATATATATAAATGTAGGGCAGGGTTAGCACCAGCAGATACAGGAGAAGCCTCACAGCAGTTCTAGAGGGTCATTATTAGAGTAAAATGGCTGCTCAGTCCTTCAGTGTGATGAACAGAAGTTCAGAGAGGGTGAGGGCCTGACAAAGTTGTTGCTGAGGTCAGTGAAACAACTCTGAATCACCTTCAGTGCAGCTGTTCTGGGAATTTGCATACAGCAATCACCATGAGTGTATCATGCAGGATGAAAAGGACAGGAAAATTGGGGAAAATAAATATAATTAGTAATCTAATCTACATCACATTTTATGAATGAAATAATCAGGTATGATTATTGTATATAATATGATAATTTAATCAGATTTTTTGATAACTTAAAACAGTTCTGATCAATTAGTACTTGTGAGTACTTATTAAAAATCTTATTTCTGAATTCATAAATTGAGTTGTGTGTGTCCACATTCACAAGCAAAAGTAAGAGGAAAATCACATCTTTTAACTATAAAATGTTAAATTAATTTTGTTTTTCACAATTTTGCCTGCTGTGGTAGAAATATAGCCAGCCACTTGGAACAGAATGTTTGTAATACAGATAAAGACTAAAATCTCTGTACTAAAATGTTAAACTTAAAGGTTATCCAAAAGATTCTGTGGTGAGATCTTAGAAACTACTCACTCTGTATCATGTAAAAACATTCCTGATTATAAAAAGCATAACATTGCCAACAAAATGTGTGCAGTTGATTTGAATCTTACTGTATGCTGCAATACAAATACAAATCTTGTCCTTGAACAGTTTTATTTCTTTGCACTTAATATTTAATTGGTCATTTGCATTACTAGCTTTTCAGCAGTATTATTAATATCAGGTGTAGTACAGATGTTAATACCACTTCCTCTTTCAGAAATGGTTTGTCTGAACAAACTGAAAATCTTTTTTCCCCTACACGTATATGAAACACTGTTCAAGAACAGCCTGAAAAGCTATTTACATCTGCATCTATTTGTTCTATGTATCAAGAACACATTAATAGTTGCTTATCACTTACAGTGAGTACTTCAGTCTGTAGCACATAGTAAACTGAGATTGTGTATCAAAAAAAACCCAACCCAAATCCATGATTTGCTGTAGCTTTTACTCTTCTAGGGCAGTGTCTGCACTGGTCAAGAGTAAGTACAAGTAGATACATCAGATCAGCAAGACTTTCAGCTTTATTCTGTACACACATCCAGAACAGACCAATGTTCCTTTTTCCTTTTGTACCTCACTTAAAGTACAAGGAAGTGTCTCACCATTTCAGTCCCCTGGTGGAATCAGATGATAATGATTATTCCATTAGCAGCCAAAGACTATGTCCCTTAGCACTGAGTATAAGGAAATCTGGATGGCTGCCCCAAGCAGACTTCTTTCCTGGAACTGGTCTAGTATTTCAGGCAATAGCATTCACACCAGTACACATATCTAGACACACAAGATGCTTCTTACAATAAATAAAGGCTTTGCAGCTATCAGGAAAAGCTCAGGAAGAAAATGGGAATAAACACAACTAATCATGCTATAAGCATTCTGTACATGTTAATACTCAGCCGTTCTAACATTTCTGCTGTGCACAGAGTTGTTAGGCACGAAAAGATCAAATCATATTATACACTTCAAACCAGTAAACCAGGCTTTTTATAGATAATGTGTAACAGAGGGACAGTACAGCATCCCTTATTCTGAGTGGCTGTAGTAATTCCAGCTCAATAACACTATTCAATTCTTAATCAGTTGCATATTTACACTAAAATATATTTCGAGTGGTTTTGGTTCTTTTTTCTAAGGAAATGCATCAAATTTAGCCTTTGGATATAGAGTGCCAGAAGACTCACAGTGCAGATTTTGTAGACCAGCTGTGCAAGCTGGTGTCCAGTGTGGAGTCCTCCCATATCAGAACCCATAATGACAATGCCAGGCCCCTAGTCCTGTCAGGTGCTGCCTGTGTGGGTGACAGACTCTTCCTCGTCCCTGCCTTGTCCCAGAGGTGCAGCAAAAGCAGAGCTGCTCACATGTACAGGTAAACCAGCTGGCTGCACAGACAGGCATCACAGCTCAAACTGTCCTTCCAGAGGTTCACCAGACAAAAGGTGGCACAACCAGGTGGAAGAAGACAGGAGTGGCTGGGCTATAGAGCTGATCTAAGCCACTGCTTGCATGGTCTTAAATTCTATTAAGTGTAACTGTTAATGTATTTTCTATGGTTTTAGTACTTCAAAGACTTTGGTAGCTATTTGGAAATGTATTTGGGAAGAGAAAAACCCCTGTTGTTGCCATAAAATATGTGTCCTTAATTTAATTAAAAACATATGAAGTTATATTGAAAAAGGAGTACATTTGCTTTAATGTAGAGTTAAGTCATTAAAAGTTAAAAGTTAAGGAATATTCTTTACACTGCAGAAAACATTCCACGGTAACTTGCTTGCATACTATATGTGTTTTCTAAAACTACACATGTAGTTAGTTCATAAATTACTGTACTACATTCACAGAAAAAAAAGATCAGTTATCTGTTAACTTCTTTTATCTGAGTTATGTTCCTGATGCTTTACAATAGGCATGAAGGAGACAAGAGTCATGTTTTTTAGCATTAGCTATAGATTAAATCCTGCTCTAGTTTAGAGTGGTGTAAGTGTCGAGTAATGCCAATGAAAGCACAGCTACTGCTGCATCAGCCCTACACAGCTGACAACACATGCAATTCTTGATTTTTGCATTAGTGTATGTTACAATCTGTAGAGCGATTGCATTTAAAATTTTTTTTTGATGTTAAGAACCTCTTCTGAAAGCAAACTGAAACATATAATGGAAATTAATCTTGTAATGTCAGCAACGTTTTATCTAGCACTGCTAGTAGGAAGGCTGGGGAATTCAACTTGCAGCTCAAGAAGTCTCCCTAAATTGAAGAAGCAAGAACTGATGAGAGTCCTGGGAAGACAGGAGGATGTGTGTGAGAATGATTATTAAAAATAATTAGCTTTGTTAATTTTCATTACAGTTCATACAGAACTGCTTTGATCTACAAATAAATTGATTTTTCATTTGAGCAACATTGCACATTTTAAGACCCAAAAATGATTTGATGCTTTTAAAGAGGTTTTACATAATAAGATTAAACATAACCACCAGCTTGACAAGGAAAAAAGAAATCATATTTATTTGTACAACTTCACTCATAAAGGAAGGAAAAAACACATAATATAACCATAATTTGGGGGCAGTGTCACAGGAAGGGGTTGTCCAGTAGGTGTTTGGGATAGCATTTTTCTGACACTATACATTTGTTATTTTTCTAAGATCAGACTTCCATCACTTTTATATTGAGAGCAGGATCGTCTATCACCATACACTGACTTTGACTGTAAGATGATAATGTTTGCTTACTAAACATTTCAACAATGTAGATTTGATGTCTTTTCCCTTGCATGATTAAGTCTCATTAACACCTTAGCATATGCCTCTGTTACTTAATTTGGAAAACTTTTCCTTTCATAGGATCAAACTGATAGCTGTCCTAAGAAAGATTCTGCCTTCAGAGCAAAACAGTAGAGCAAACTATTCTTCTGGTAGATTTAACAGAAGAAAATCACCACAGGTAAGGTTACACTTCTGGAAATATTTTCTTACTATTGTCTTGAGACAAATTCACTGCTGATGTAACCCCACTGACTTGATTTTCACTTAGCTCTGAAAAATGGCTTTGACACATTGCCACATTTCTTAAATAGTTGTGACATGGCTCCTAGTTTGAAAGAACAAGAATAGGGAGATTAACCTTCTGAAAACACAAGAAACCTCAACAGGTATTAATTCAAACTAAGAACCCTGTCCGAGAGGTAGAGCTTGCTCTAATAAAAGTAACACATCACTATTTTTTCCCCCTCAAAGATACGTATTAATTCACATTGTGTAGCTAGTTAATATAAAATCAGCAAACTGCCACCATATTTTGTTGTACTGCTCCAGATATCCCATTCCAGAACTACTGGTGTCTGTATGTCAATATATGTGAATTTTGTTCCCTTTGTT